TTGGCTAATGCTGTTTCATCAGTCCTTTGTCTCAGGGTGGCAAGCCAACATCAGCACATCAAGGACACTTTGATGGGCTCCCCCCCATAGGACGTGACAAATTCCCAGGACACTCCTGCCCAACACTCACTGCAATAACAAGCATGTCAAGGGCAGTAATTTAGTCCCAATGTTTGGTACGTGGTAAAACTCGTGCTTGCTAATTACAGTGATTGCTCCATAAAGTCCACCTCAGCCAGCCACATGCAATCCCAGTGAACACAGAGCCACAGCCCTGCCCCTTGGCAGCCCGCAGTAGCAGCCCAGGTGGAGACTGCTGCTTCCTCGCTTTGAGGAGCCTCCGCAGGCCAGTGTTGGAGGCATCTCACCCACTTACTAGATCTATTCCTGGACATATTGGTTTCTATTTATTTTCCCACTGACTGTAATACTAGTGCAAGGACAGAAGTCTGAAAACCAGTGAGACTGGACACATGCAGTCCATCGAACAGATTTTCCTCCTTCTTCAAAGCACAATGTCCATTATTTTGATAAGAGATGCAGCAGATTTATTTTCCTGGTTTGAGCATTCCTAAGCCTGGCAGTGAGAGCCTTAAAGCAGACCCAAACCCTGCTGTCTCATTTCGTGTGGGGTAGAAATAACCCCTTTGCCCAGTGACTGGGAGAGCTGAACCCCACCATCCACATGCGGAGCTGATGGGCTGGCACTTGGGAGCTGAAGCAGAGCCAGCAGCCCAGCATCTTCTTTCTGCAGCCAACCAACACCACATGCTCTGCTTTGATCTGAGCCCCAGCTGTGATCTTGTGCCAAAGGTCGGAAGGATGCACAGATCAAACCCGAGAGCCCATCAGCTCTCTCCAAGCCAGGCCTCTGCAGGGAGATTCAGGCAGGTTTCATGTCACCACAGGGGATGCCTTTGCTCTCCTATGATTCCCCTCCTACGTGCTTTACAAATTAAAGCAGAGAACCCAAAGACACCCCTATAGAAGGACAGCACAAATACAGCCCGTGCTTTCTGATAAATGCAAACTGAGCTAACAGGATCCTTTTTGCTGGCCGACTGCCTTGAACTGATAAAGTCAAGCTTCAGCAATTGCAACACCATAGCCAATTCCCCAAGACTGCAACAACTGCAGACATTTTGAACCAGAACAAGCTGCAAGAGCAGGACACTAATAGTAAAAGGAAAAGCAAGGTGAAATATTTGACGCTTCTCTTCCAGTAGGGAAGAGCCGATCAACTTTTACTGTTGAGAAAAAAGGAGGAGTGTCAGAGAAGAGAGGTCCACTTTCACTTCGCTCCCAGGATGCCCAAGGATTTTCACATCCTTGTGCAGAGAACAGCTGCTGTATGTGCCTTTCCATCTCACAATGATAGATTCCTTGTCTAAAAATAAATCAGTGCAGCCTGGGCCACCTACAAACAATCTTTCCCCAGCTTTCCCACATCCTACATTTTAAAGACAGCTGGTGAGCTCCATCCTTGCTTACCCTTGTCCTTCCTTTAATGACTCCCTGCGTTACAGTTAAGGCTAGTGTTGCCCTCCTCACCTCTGACTTTCCTCAGAGCTGTGGCCTCCTGCCTTGACTGCTTGTTTCCTTGGCTTTGCATTATACTGAGTTTTTGCCTCAACACCACTGACAACCTGGATGCTCATTTCAGTATCTTCTCCCACAGGCATCACCATCAAACCCTTTGTGCTCTAGGTCTTTCTGAAGAATCAACTCTGAGCTTCTGCACAAATGCATGCAAATTAACAATTTAGGGTCAGTTGGGACCAAAAAGCTCAGTTATTCTTTGCGTATTGTCCTCAACCTTGAGGCTGATATTGTTCTCTAAAACTTACGAAAAGTCACCCAAGGTTTGCAAACAAAGCACTCAAACACACCAGGTTGTGCAACAGGCAGGCTATCGAACCCGGAATCTCATTACTCCCTCTGCCTCTCATTTGGGGAGGTGTTCCCTTGTTGCACCTTGTTTCAAATTAGACTGAAAGCTCTTCATGCCTGAGGCATGGCTCCCTGTGGCAGTGTCACAGCAAACAGGATTAATAAAAGGCAGCTTTCAAAAGCACCAAAAAACAGAGAGGAAACTGAAGAGAGAATGTGGGAAAGTCAGAGCCCCTGCCCTGAATAAAGAACAGCTCACCAGACACTGGAATAACTTGGGAACATCCACAGACTTGATTTTTCTATTATGGGTTTTATTTTTTCACGTTTAGCCTCAGCACTTAATTTAAGTGGAGGTAAGTGAAAAATGCTTTGCTCCATCTTAGATTATGTTGCAATTCAGCACCATAGCTCAAAGATTTAACTTATCCATTCAAACTAGGCCATTTGCTTTGCAGACAAGAGGGCACACTTGGTGAGCAGAGGATATAAGAAATTTAGTGGCAAGAAAACAGAAGTGACCTGTCCTTCGTCAATTGTCTTAACCCCAAGCATCACACCCCCAAAATGCTGTTTTGCACTGCCTTGTTCCTCTGGCTTCTGTTTGAGCAGTTGGTTTTGGAATTAAGCCAAGCCTCCTGTTAAAGGCTAGGCTGGGGCCGTGCTCCCTGACCAGCTTTCCACCCATAGTCCCAGGTGCAGTCCCTTTCCCTAGGGCAGAAAATATCTGCCCTTGATATAACAGTTTGACCATCACCTCCCAAGGGCTGTACACCCACTGAATAATTCTTACAATAGCCTGAAAAAGCTGACCTGGGAGCAATATCCTTTCCTCATCAGCTGGGCTATGGAGAAAGGAGAGATTTGCCATTGGCCACAGAATGAGTCAGTGGCTAAGGCAAGATTAACTCGTGACATATCCTGGAGCTGTGCCTGGGGTTCATTCCACCATCCATTATCTCTCAGTACATGACTTCATATGCTGCTGAGGCTGGCAATAACACTGACGTCTGGGAGGCGAGGGAGAGTTTACACTGCACGGTTATTTCACTCTGCTCCATTAAGTTTAGTCTCTTCACTGGATATTATTTCTGTAACAAGGAGGTTTCGCTGATAGAAATTCCTAGTCCAAAAACTCCAGTTCCAGCATTACAGGTGTACTGTAGCAGATTGGTCATTATGGCTCCTCAGGAGCCCTTGACATTTTTCTGCCCATCCACCATCTCTCACTAAGAAGGATCTCTGCAGGTCTGCCTGTCCCAGGGCTAGGACTGCTAGTTTTTCCTCCTTCAGGACCTCTTGACCCCACAGTGGATACCTGTGCAGTGATTCTGATGACTCTCTAGATGGGCTTAGTGGAAAAGCCCTAATGGCATGGCTGGCTTCCAAGCAGCGTAACTCAGACAGCATTGCCATCTCCAGCACCTTGCCCACATCCTGCACCAGGCACTGCAGACCCCTGGAGAAGCTAGCTTTCTAGGTTACAGAGAGCATGCAGGATCCATGCAAGGGAGTGCTTGTTCACAGGCAACAGCAGCTCTGGAAAATGTGCAATCGCCAAATTCAAACAAGAAGAGTTTTGCTCGTTTAATCATCCTCCATCCAGCTAATGCTCTGGACAAAGCCTTGTAGACAAAACTTCGAGCTTCCCCTTTGTTACCAGCACTTACAAAGACCTAAAAATAAGAATCATCGTATTCACATCCCATTTAACTTTGTACTATAGTTTTTCTGCTGGGAGGGAGGGTTACTCTGTCTAGGCTGGGTAGGGCTGTCCAGGAACAACATTTTCTACAGAGAAGAAAGTTAGTTAGCTCCTGCATGATCCCAGACCTTTGAAGTGAAGGCACATACGGCAACAGCAAACAGGGGCTCAACAGCTCTGCATTGATGCTGTTTAGGCCAAAAGACTTTACTGAGCATAGAGCTAAGCAGGCCCCAGGCAATAATGAGCACATGATAAATAAACAACCCGTTCCAAGCAATAAATGTGAGTCAACTCAGAGGAAGAGTTCCTCAGTTTTTTCAGTTCACCTGTTCCTTGGGAAGCCCATACGCACTATGACAGTGTCCATAAAAACAAACATTTAGCTGGTTTCTTGAAGAAACCTTGGAGAGCCCAAAACTGTCTGTGTGTGCTGAATCCTCAGCAGGGTACAGTAACCAAAGCAAAAAGCAGCCTCCTCAGGGGCTATCATACTCGAGACAGAGGAACCAGAGCAGAAATCTTTGTAGACAAGCCATTTACATCTGTTCGACCCAGACTCTTCCCCACTTGGAGGCATGCTATTCACAGTCTGCCACAGCAGTTTGATCCTTCCTGGGAGGGTAGGAGCAGTGCAGAGAAGCCACAGGTAACCCCTGGGTGAGCAGCACACACAGCCCACACCAAGGACCAGAGCAAGCATGAACAGAGCTCTCTCATCTACCCTCTGAGGCAAGGGGGAAGCAGCAGGTCCTTGCAAAGATCATGGTGCCTGGCCACAGTGCTGCCTCCCGGCTTGCCGTCACAGGTTTGTAGGAAAAGCTAATGAAAGTGAAAGATACTTGTGCCACCTCCAGACACTACCATGCTGCCTAGCCTTCCTCTTCCCTGCCAGGCTGCTCCTGCTCCCCAGGAGGCTGTTTTATCCTCTCCCACTCCAATCCCTTGATCTTCTTGCCAAAATCCAGCCCACTCCAGGAGGCCCTGGCTGCCCATATATTGCAGCCAATTATCACAGGCTGCAGCTTAGTTCTGTGCTACCACAGGGCCAGGTGGCCTGGGCTTGGTCTTCCCTTGCTTTTTCACAAACATCCAGAGGTCCACAGGTCTGCCCATCCCAGCACTAGCCTTGCCCCACCTGCCAGCCCCCTAAATGCCACATTTGCAACCCAAACCATCCCCAGAGGCCAGCTCCATCACCAGTTCTCTCTACATCTGTCCTGCAAGGGGATGAAACTAGGAGGACCACAGAGGAGGTCTGCCTGCAAGGACAATAAGCTGTGGAGAAATGGGATAATGGAGGCCAGACTCACACCACACCACATCCAGCAATCTCCCAGCAACTTTGTGCCGCTAGAGCTAGACAACAGGGTCCACAAGAGGTAGCAGATAAAAGCTAGCCCACCTCCACACACTGTCCATCTGGAGCAAGTCCCAAGTCTTCCGGCCTCCTTCAGTACAGCTCTGGGGTGCCTTCTCCGAGGTGCTGACACCAGCTTTCTTGCTGGCTTTGGCAGGTGCTCCTCATCCTGCTGGACAAGACCTATCTTGCCCTGTCCACTATTTTAGTAAGAAAAATTTTTTTTTTTGGAACTCCTTTGTCCAGTATGGATGCCCTGAACGTAATATGTATACCCCATGCATAGCATCTGGAGGGTTTGTTCCCCAAGGACTGAGATGCAGACCTCCAGGAGTGCTCTGCTCCAAACCCAAAGTGCTGGTCACCCCACAGCCCCACTGCAGCTCCCCTTTCCCTAGGGATACGATGCCCTGTCACTGCTAGGCCTCCCCACCATGCTCAGCCCAAGGGCAGGTGCATACCACTGTAAGCAGCTGAGCAAACATTGCCGCCTCCTCCTCCTCCAGCCTGTTGAGCAACCACAAGTGGGAGGACACACACCCAGGCTAAACAATTCCAGTAACGTCACCCTCATCTGCTATGGCTTACCCATGTCACCAAACATTCTTGCTTTGAGTGCACTGCTTCTCACACCCCTCCCTGGGAGGGCATCTAGTTGCACAACCGTGCATGCTGCCTGCCCTGCTCTAGCTCTGGTTTCCCCTACTCTGAACCCGGAACCAGATTTCACTCATCACAAAACGTGCCGGTTGTTTTCACCCACACAGCTCTGTCCTAGTGACACTACAGGACAGGGCTGCCATTACAGCAAGAGCCATGCTGCATCCTGCCAGGTCGTCCAAGTCACAGCAAGCCCATTTCTGAGAGCAGGAGAACAGTTGAGCCCAGGACTCAGTGGGGAGGGAAAGGCCTCGGTGTTGCAACTGCCATTAACAGATTCCTCTAATCCCTGTACTTGAGGGCTTCTGAGCACAGGTCAAGCAGCAAAGCTCCTGACACCTGAATGACAGAAGGTTTGAGGCTCACAGAGCCTTCTCAGCACAGCCTTTACCACCACATGACACATCTAGCTTTCGCAATCATGGTTAGCATTCATCTGCTCTATTTCAACTTCAAAGCGCTTCACAAACATTAACCAATTAATTTTCTCACCTCCCTGTGAGGGTGGTGCATTTTTATTTTTATCCATTTCCCCATCAGTCAGAAGGAGAGAGTTAAGTGCCTCTCCCAAGGCCATCCTCCACTGACTACACAGCTGAGTGCTGTTTGACTCCCAGTCCCAGGCTCAGTCCATTAGATAAACACAGTACACCTGAAATGGTAGAAATGCCACATCAAGAGTTACAGCTGGCTAAGCAGAGCCATCACCAAGTGCTTTTGTTTTACTTCATGCCCTGTATGAAATGGCTTCTTGGGCATCTTCTGCTCATCATTCCAGTCAATGACCTGGAAGGAAAATGATCCAAGACACAAGTGACAGAGCAGGCCACCAATGAGAGCAGTTGGGATCAGCTGGCTACCCGGGGGCATGCAAGCAGTAAGTGTTTTTAATAGGCCAAAAGTCCAATATTCTGCAGTAAAAAGTGCAGGCCAGTGGGGATGGTACCAGGGTGCATGGACCAACTTCAACAAGACTGAAGCTAGACTGACAGACATGCATGACATAAGCTGTTAGCAGTGCTTAACTTCTGCTGAGATCTGGGGTAGACTCTCTCCCAGCACACTCTGCACTCAAAATTGCACTTTTTCTTCCCTCCAGAAGGATTTTCTTCAGCTCAGGCAGGACTTGGGCTAGGGAACACCACAGCCTTGGTGAGCCATGAGCCAGGGCAGAGCGGGAAAGGGTCCCAGCCTCCTAACAAGAGCGTGCAGAAGGCAGTGTGTTACACCAACATGGCAGTGGCTCACCCAGGATAGAACCTGCAGAGATGCCTCCACTCATCCTTCACGTCTGGCAGGACCCAGCCAATCCCTGCAGCAAGCACAGCCTCACATTCACAGCAGTACAAGATCCCAGGTCCATCACATAGCTCCTCCAGGTCGCAGCCAACCCAAGTAGTTTTTTGTTGTCACCCAGAGAGAGCGCCCCCTCCCTGCTCACTCTTTTTACAGCATAACTGTGGGCTGTGACCCTGTCACCCCTTTCACCTATGGTAAACTTCCACATTCCCCTTTGAAATGAATATTTTTGTTGAAGACTGTACAGAAGTCTTAAAACTTAAGCACACCTTCACCCACAACTCAAGTAAGCTAGAACTCTCCAGCACCAGGAGGTCCAGGCCTGCTTGCGAGGAAAGAGGAAAACACCCTGGTCACTCCCTGGGAAGGGGAGAAATAGCCCCGAGTGCCAGGGGGCTGCAGAGAGGGAAAAGGGGTTGCACAGCATGCAAGGAGGAGTTGCACACCAGGGCAGAGCTGCTGAACTTTTATGTCCTTTTCATGGACTAAACTATTTGCCCAGGCCAACAACCTGCTAGAACAGGAGCATGTCAGCTCTTCCTGTGACATCTTGGGACAGACCCGGCAGGGCTGGGAGATTGCTTCCAGCTCCCTTTTACTTCAGTAGCAATTTCTGTCATCACGGTTTCTCTTTGAGTAAGTGAGTGAGAGTATTTCTGCTTTTGCAACACCACCGACCTAGAGCAGGATGCCTGCTCCCCTGTGTGCTATTCTGGCAGTGAGGAAGAACCCACAATTGCAGCACTCACAAGGAAACTCTGGTGCATTTTTCTCATCATTTCCAAGGACTGCATCCCAGTCCTAATCACTGACAGTTATGCATGACCACTCATCTCGAGGTCCCAAATTGCTCACTAAACCCTGTGAAGATGTAGGGCTCACAAAGCCTTTCGGATGGAAAGGGGCAGCTGTTAAACAACACACAGCAACATCAGATCAATATCAGAAAACTGAAATTAGTCCAGTGTCTCTCTGAAGTAGCAGGAGAATTTCAGGTAGATAAGACAGTTCTTCCACTGCAGTGCTTGGAGGCAGCGGGGGTAGAAACCTTACATCCATTACAGATGCAATACCGTCCCAGGGGAATGCTTATCAATGTCAAGAATCACTCTGAATACATGTTAAAAACAGTACATACAGCTTGCCTTTAAATTTATTGCTAAGCACAGACCTTAAGCCACACTAGCACCTTTAAACAGCAGATCTGCCCACCCACACAGGAGATGCCACACCTGCCCCAACAGTTTGGATGCAAACCATCCTCAGAGGGGAGGCAAAGCTTGGGCTCTCCCAGCTCTTGGCCGGGCTGCTATGCCGCAGCACCCAGAGGTGCTAGCAGTGCCTTTGGCCTGGCTTGCAGCAGACAGTGCCACCTGCTGACACCCTGACCCTTCCCACCAGGCTGTCCTGACCTCCCAGTGGGGACCTTGTAGCAGAAGAGGTCCAGGGCTGAAATGTTTGCAGCCTGGCAGGAACACGACTGAGGAGCTCACGATTTAGGGTCCCTGCCACCCGCTTGCACTATGTGCAGCATCCAAGCTGCTGCTGTTGCATGCATCTCGCAAGCCCCCTGCTCCCGAGCAGGAAGTCTGCAGTGATGGCAAACGGGTCTAGGTGACATCACCATGTGAAATGCATCCCAGATTATCCCTCATTTCCTAGGAGCCAAAGGCAGTGGGGAACTCCACCTCAGGTCACTTCAACAGCAAAGGCATAGCCCAAACACAGCCCTCCCAGTGGGTCAGATAGCCTACACATCCCAACTTTTCCTTGGGCCAATGCAAAGTTACCTAGCTTCTGCCTCTCCTTTACACAGTAATCGCAACAAAATTTTTGCGCCTCATTGCTGGTTTGCAGACCGATCTCAGACATATCCCCCATCTTCATCACACAGATATGGGCCATCCTCTGCTTAACAAACCAGCTTCCTTCCTTGCTCGGTTGACAGGATTCCTCTGACCTCCTTGGCACATATAAGTCCATATAATGAGCTTAACCATCAGTCAAAGCATCTATAGGGCCTCCACTAGCCAATGTTTCAGCAAAGCTTTTACACGAGCACTAGCAGACTTCAAAAAAAAAAAAAAAAAAAGCCTTAGCCAGGCCTAGCCACACACTTAAATCTCACATGTTAGTCAAACCTCCAAAGGAGCAATAGTTCTGTATAATATTCTTGACCTTTCCAGGTCCTTGAGCCGTTCCCTCTCTGTGCGTGGGTGTGCAGGACAGATGCCGATCTCCCATGCCGTGGGCCGCCTGGGCCAACACTGTCACTGTAGCACAGGATTTGTTGCCACAGGTCCAGTCTGTTCTTCAGTGAGGGGAGGAGAAAACAGGCACCTGCAGTGGGTTACAGCAACTAGCAATTTCTGGATGTGCTTTCATCTTCCCTTCTCTGGGCACTTCCCAGCTGTAATCCTTTTTCTTAGATATCTTTCCCAAGTATTGTCAGCACCTATTCCTGAGCCTGAGCCGCCCAGCACCACCTTGGGAACAAGCAGGGAGACCACCCCCACCCTATTCACACACCCTGGTTAGATGGTGCATTTGGATACTGCAAACAGACAACACATCCAAGCAGCTGAAACCGCTTCGCTAACGCTTGCAAGTTTTAGCTTAACCCTATAGTGATGCAACACTCCACAAAACACCTATGAACTTCTCCAGGCAGCATTTACAGCATGGGACAAGCCAGAAAAAAAAAAAAAAAAAAAAACAAAACATGGCAAATCCACCTCTTGGATAACAGCACAACCTAGGAGCCCAGCTTGATATGGGTCTGCTGTTGACTTGCATCACAAGACATTCCTTAATGGCTGGATTCTATCATTTTCACAAACTTACAAGTCTTTAACCCACTCATCTTTTAGCTATATATGGCTGTAAATTAGAAACACCCCCTCAAAAAAAACTATTTCATAAGCCTGTAAGCCTGAACTTGCTCCTCCACTAATTGGCCACAAGACCCTCAGGTTACATTTTATTTCATTCCTTGACCAATAGTTCAATCAATCTTCACCTGCTTTATTTAACAAGTGCTCTCACTAGTGTTTCACTAGGACAGATATTTAAACTTTTCTCATAAACCAGTCTAAATTTAAAAAAGGGAAAAATGTCCAGGAATAAAAGTGTTGGTACATTCTTCATGCATGAACTACCATTATGACTAATTATTTACACTGCAGCAGCTACTACAAGCCCTAGCACCACTGTACAGGTCCTAGATAACGCACACGTTAAAACATAAACCTCCTTGCGCAGAAACTATAAAGAGATAGAAGAAAAGACAAGAAAGTATCATTCTCATGTGGAATCAACCAACCTAAGTAAATGCCAGTACTGAGATGTGCAACTAAATCTGCATATAAAACATGATTATTAAATACATTAAAGCCCA